TTCTTTACGCGTAGAGCCTATACATTATTTTCATGTAGTTACGGGGCCTCACATTTCCTGGAACTATCAACCAGGCCTTAATTCTCCTCACAAGACATCCCTTTAAAATTGTGAAGCTCTCTTAATCAACCTCTGTATCAGTGGCAAATTTGCAGTATGACCTAATTTGAAAGACGTCTTGAAGTGCTGACTCAAAGGGTTGGTGAATAAAAGCCAGTCATTGCCGCTGTGACACTAATGTGATGCAAAACAAAATCGAGTTGCATCAGCTGAACATTAGTTTGCAAAAAATATTAGTGATTGAAACCACTTGCTGGTCATCTTTTATTTATACTTATGAAATTTATACTTCTTGGGGTATGAAATGGCTCTAAAACAAACTTCTGGAGGAGAAGCACGAAGAGACTCTTAAATGGTGAAAAATCCCAGTCAGATCTATACATCTAAGCTGCATCATTTGCACTTCATAATCTCCTCTCTTTTACAGAGCAGGAGGCAGACACATTATTTTAGAACTTTTATTAAAATATTTATACAGCAACAGATGAAAATTCTCATACTAATATGCATTTTTCGATTACTTTCCAAGCCTTTATCTTTTTTTTCCTTCTCTAATTGAAACACAGATGATACTCCTTCATTCTCCGGATAAGTAACTGTCTCAAAATGACTAGCAGTTACTTTGGGACTCAAAGAAATAAAAAGGAAAGAAGGGATTTGGGCCAGAAAGTTTATGGGGGAAAAAAATCCCACACAAAGCAAGAAAACCCTATTCCACCATTGTTTTATTTAACGTCTTCAAAAAGAAAAAGTGAGTATAAATTATTGAAGGTGTTTCTGCTGTGATTTTACGGGAACATTGTTTCAAGTCTTTTTTTAAATTTTTTTTCCCCTTTAGCTTCTCTTTTTCATGCTTTCTTAAGGAAACTTACTTGAGCTAGAACAACCTGGCCAGTTTCTTTACCGGTTTGTCAAACATTGGCAGCTAATTTACACTTTTGAGGGTTACTGAAGAATCAGGGGTTTAGGGATGAATCAACTCAGCAGAACTATTTTTCCCTGCACTTTAAAAAAAATATTTTACTTTTAAATTGAAATATCAATAATGCAAATCATCTAATATGTGCTGATAAAATGTCTGACTTTCCACTGAAGTATCTGAAAACCAGATACATACAGACACACAGAATAAGGGAGACAAGCCATTAATTTAAAATTTAGAGAACCAATAAGTTTTTGATAGCAATGGGTTACTGTGCTAATGATTATTTAACTTGCTTCATGTAGGGTTAAGTGTGCATGTCTATGTAAAGTGCAGCGCCTTATTGAAGTGAGACAATTTTTCCTCTGAAATGTTATATTCAAAGCAGGGGGAGGAAGGCACTCAGATTATAAAAAACCAGCTACTATATGATGGCAAATTTCATGCATTTAGGAAGCAGAAGCCACTACAGTTACAGAAGTAAATTTTGGTACTGCAGGACAAAAATGCTGAACAACCATACAAAAACCCAAAATATTTCTGTTTCTTCTCTGCTTCTTCTTAGAAGCTATTTTAGTATGGCTGTATTTATTGACGGGTGTAAGCACAGAACAGGGAGCATGGCTGGATGTTTTACCTTGCTGGTTATTCTCCTAATTATTCTCATCCTTTCTCTTGGTTTGCCTTAATTTTATATATTTTTTTTTTAATTTTCTTTTCTTTTACTTATTATCAAGGCAGGTATTACCACAATAAGATACAGTGGGATCTGGGGTTTGCTTGTGTCTTTTTGAGCTTGAAGGGACATCTTACTATAGACATATAATTCAATACTGTACATATTATTCAAGAAAACTCTGATCATTCTTTTTCAATGCCATTTCTAAGTTTAAAAAAAGCTAAAAGTAGCAATAACTACTGCTATTTGATAGCCTGTAAATTATTTACAGATTTTTTTTACTCCCGCACTCTTCAAGTACAGTATGCTTGTGTTTTTTATGTTGTTTATTTTGTCTTTCCAAAGGGATTGCACTTGCTAACCTCCCAATTTTGGGTTGTTTATTCTTTATGTGGCTGACTCCTTAAGAGTGCTGCCATTTGTGAGTATTTTGTATCCTTCAGCCCTCCTAGGAAGTGGTAGGTAGGAATGCTCTAAACCCTCTAGTAGTTTCCTATGGGGAGAGGATGGCAAAGTAACGGCTAATGATCTGGAAGTTAGCTGGAATTCAGAGACAAATACTAAACATAATATATCTATCTACCTCTATATATATAAAAGAGGTTTTTTTTCCTAAAAAAGAAGAAAAAAAAAAGAGCAATGAAAATTTATGACCTTAACATTCCTTCAGGGTCAAGCAATTTATCAAATTCTCTCACTTTCTGGTTTCAATTACACAGCTATTGTGGAAGGAACTTATTTTAGCAGGTTCATTTGCCTCAGTAGGGAATACAGGACTTTGGCCTAATGCTTCACCTTTAGTGCAGGCCATTTGAGCCTTAGAATAAATACTAATCATCACTCTTACGAAAAAAAAAAAAGGTAAAAAAAAAAAATCTGCATCGGTATGGCCTATTGGAATGGGGTTTCTGTCAAGGTAAACGGTTGTCGGCAATGACTGTGGTAGAGTGGCGATAAATCCCATTTTATTGCTGAAAAATTCCAGCTTCTCTCCATGCCTGACAGCTCCCCACATTCTCGTACCCATTTGGGTAATTTCTCTACTATGTCCATCTGGTTCTTATTACCTCTCAACCTGCCAGTGTCTGATCCAAAAAAAGTGCAGGTCAAAAACAGGGGAAAGAAACCAAGGTGATGGACAAAACAGAAAGAGAGTGATTGAGCGACCAAGTCACGCTTCCTGTTCCTCCCTCCCCAGCCAAGAAAATATGGGTTTGAGTGGTATAAACAAATTTAAGGGAGGTTATTAGCTTAATTATGAGGTTGCTGTCAATGTCCTTAAAATACCAAATTTAGTAAGTATTAATCCATATGCTCCAAGCTTTGGTATTGCCACCAAATATTTGCCCAGGACACTGATGACATCTGCCTAAGTAAAGCCTTTCTGGAGAAATGGGAAAAGCCAAAACTTCAAATCCTTAAATCTAGGAGTCCTGGTGTGACCATTTCATCTGCAGCCTTTTTCACTGTGTCCTTGGCATTAAGGAGAACAAAACTTGTCTCCAAAAGTTCATTTGGGGGTTGCAAATTGTTTTAGGAGGGCATCAGAAGTATAATTAAATTGCAATTTGAAAAAAAACCCCGACCCAAAGTAAAACTTAGGCCAGCTTCTTGATAGAAAATTGAAACAAAAGGAAAGTCTTTATTTCCATGCAAGTTTTGTGAATACTGCTGAACTCAGAAAGTCCTCAAATCCCCCTACAATAAGTAGAAGGAAAATTGATAACTTTTAAAAATTTAAAAATCAAACAAATTAGCCAACAACAACTGAATTGTCAATATGTCAAAACAAAAACCCATGGGAGCACTTGGTTTCCTCCCAGTTAAAACTATTTCGTGTGGCATTTGTCAAGGACCCCCTAGTGCTATCAGGAGACATCCCCTGATTCACTTTCAATCTCTTCCTTCAAGTGAGCCCAACAAATTTAATTGCAATTTCTGTATTTAGTCTACCTGAAAAAACCTCATTTCCCACCCAAAGTGTTGCTCACTGTACCTTTTTTCCCCATAGATTATCACTACTCAGGTCCTGTGGTCTCATGTTAGCTTACACAGCCTCTTCCTGCATTCCCAGAAGAAGCAAGGGAAATTAAACCCAACTTTTTGGAGCTAAAAAGTCCTAAAAATCTGACTGAATTCTGAACAGCAGAAATTTCAGAGTGTTCCCTACTGTCTGCTCAGTGGTCCCTAGGGAGAAGGGCTCTTGAGCATCCCACACTAGGTGTCTCATACAAGGTAGGAATTGCTGACAGGTGTAATGGCCTGATCTAGCACCAAAGGGCTGGAAATTGTGGGAGATACTAGGAATTCTGTTCCCACGGCTTGTACAAACCTTTTGGCTCTCAGAAGCTCAAGATGGGGCTCCAACAGGGAAATAAGACACAGGGGTACAGTTTTCAGAGGAACTGGAGGAAGATGTTGCCATTGAACAAGGAGATAGGACAGAGAATGAGTAGGAAAGAAAAGGTGGGGTGAGCTCAAGATCTTGCTCCAGATTGGGTGACCTAAAAACACCATGTGCAAAATGTGACATCCAGCTCACCACCTGTCCTTGCAATTTCTCCCTCTGATGCTGGTGCATCCATTTAAAATAGGCATTTGGAGGAGATTGCTTTGGTGGGAAAAGTCTTCCTCTCTGTTACCTTTTGGTGTCAGTAATGGCACTGAGAAATCTGACTGCCTATGCTTAGGATTTGCTTGCATTTGTCATGGATTATAGAATTAGATTTTTTTAAAGTATTATTTTCTGTGTGTCTTTTTCTTTGTTCAGTTATGGGGGGCATGCTATGCAGATTTAGATGCCAAAATATAGGAGTGTGGTTTGAGACATCTACAAAAATCTTGGCTTGAAGAACTGCTCAGCCACATTGCTTGATTTGCCTGTGAAGCCTTTGAATACAAAAGAAGCTGATATGAGGGAAAGCCCCAACTTCTACAATTAAAATATGTCAGCATGAGAATGGTTAATGGTGAGTATTATAGCTTCAAAAGAGCTCATTGGCTACCCCTAAAGGATGCCCTGCAATTGCTAAACTCATCAGATGCAACTACCCTTCCTCAGCTAGCCTTTACATTTGTCTGACTAACAGTAAAAAAATGCTATAATAAATCGGTAACATATGTTGTCAGACAAGAATAAGTGATATAAATAAAGAGTCAAGAGACATAGCCCCTCAAGAACAATGTGTAAAGATTTAAACTTCCAATGTATTAGTTAAGCTAGGAACATTTTAGGAGGAACTTGAAAGTGGTGTACTGTTTGTTTATATCATTCCTTCTCTTTTGCCCCCCCTCCTCTTTTTTCTTCTCTTCAGATTGCATTTTAAATCAAAATGTTCTCCATGACTGACTGCTTTGCAGCACTAGGGTAAGTCCCATTTTTCCACAGCTTAAACAAAAAATATGCCTAAGAAATCTATGCCAGAAAGGCATTTTGCTGGGTTTTGGTTTAGGAAATAAGCACAATGTTGTTGGGAAGACATTCCTTTTTTTTTTTTTTTTTCCTTTTTCTTCTATTTATTTTTTTAAATCCAAATGTAGAAAGCTGTGTATGTGCAAACATAGCTACTATCAAGAAAGCAAATTCACTGTAAAGGTGACAACTCTCCAAACTAGTAATACATTAACAGCTGCAGCATTAAAAAGAAAATATAAAACCAAATATGCTTTGAGACTTGGCTGGATGCTTTATTTATCTTTTACTTTTATTGAGACATCCTTTGAAAAATGACATAAAATAAATAGTTTTACAAAGCAACAACATAATCAATCTCTAAATGAGAAGATAAATCAAGGATTTCATTAACTGCTGGTAGCCAGTTTAAATTGTAGTCTTGTCCATAACGTCTATCTATCTATGTATGTCCAAGTTATATTAAAAACCTTTAAATGGCTTTGTAATATCAGCTACATCTAGCTATTATAATAATTAATGATACTGTTTTATAAATCAATATATGTATTCTTGATAAATTCATATCCAGTTAATGGTGTAATTTAAATAAAAAATTAATGTAATAAAGGACACACTGGAATAGGCAGGAAATCTTTAAAGGTTAAGAGGCAAATTTGTCTAAATTCTTTTCTTTGTACCTATTTTTTGAGAAAGCCTCCATTGAAATGCAGCTGATAGCAGGCTGGCTCTCCGGATCGCGCTCTCGCCATTAGTTTTGTTTTAACAGCACCCGATGACTTTTTGCAGCCAGAGGAAAAGGGAAAGCCCCTTCAGCAGTAGGAATACTTTCCTCCCTGGTTTCTCATCCTGCTGCAAAACTGCAAACAAAAACAAAAGCAAAAAGAAAGAAAGTAAAAAAAAAAACCAAAACAACAAACCACAACTCTAGCATTTGGCCAGAAGCAGAAATGGTAAAAAATGCTTTTTTTTTACCATTCCCTATCGATTCCATATTTGTACTATCACAAAAATATTTTGCTTGTTCTATACAGTGTCATTAAGAAAGGTAAAATATGAACATTTTATTGCAGGCATGAAGTGCGTTCAGAGGAGCCTGGAAACCCTGCAGACTGTTCAGTGTAATAAAAAGCTGTTCTTTATCTCTTGTTTTAAATACAGTTAATCCTGTTTATTCAGCAAACACATTTAAGAGCAACTTTGAGGGAAAAAAAACAAACAGAAAATGCTGGAAATTGCCTTTTTCTATCTGCAGTGGTAAGAAACCGTGGCTCTGTTCCTTTGCTTTTATTTATAGTCAGTAACCACAAAATGTATCTCTAACAATAACAGGGATTTTAATAGGCAATATTAATTGTTCTTCCCTTAACTTTTGATCTGAAATGTTTCAAACAAAAGCCCGTTGCCTGTTTATATGCTGAATTTGTTTGAAGAATATCTTTCTGAAATGATTCCAAACATTACACTTTGTCATTCAGACTGACATGGGACAGAAATGTCATTTTAATCCATTGAGTGATTTTTTCTTTTGCCTTTCTTTGGGGGGGCAGTTTTTTTCTCAACATTGCTTTGCCCTATTTAGAGCAGCAGTGATCTGCGCAGTTTCTTTTGACACTGATAGGTATTTCAAACCCCTTACACTGAGGGGAGGGAGAAAAAGGAATTTGCTGCCAGTCACAGCGGCGATGCAGCTCCATAAGGCATTGCTTATTTGCTAAAAGTTTACATTTCAAATGAGCTTGTAATGTAAAGGTGGGCTTTTTGATACTGTGACTGTGTTTAGGAATGGAGAGAAAAATAGAGGGAAGATGATTATGCTTGTATGTAAAAGACTATGAGAATATTGGTAATACAGCCATTTAAAATGTATTTTGTTTTTTGATGCAGCTAGGAGCAGGAGATTCACAACCATATTTGGGATGCTTAATTTAAGCTTTATAGGAAAAGCAAAAAACATCAGCTTACAGTAACACACCGAACTACAGTATAAATTTTAAATATCTTCAGTTGGAAATGCATGTTATATTTTTTACTCTCCCCTTCTAGGATCACTAACATACCTCTCCCCAGATAAAGCAAGGACAAATGCCATCTTTAAAAATGATCTGCCTTACAGATCACATTCTCAAGCATGTTCCCCTCTTTTTATTACCACGGATAACCTCTTAATGCTATCACAATTTTATACTTGTTAAGTGGACATCTTCCCTATATTTAACTGCAAACAAAGCGACTTCATTTTGGGGGTTGGGAGGAAGGAGAAATGCTTTGGGATGATTAGAAACATAAGTTTCTATCTTCTGTCACACCAGCCTATCAATTATTCAAAACCCTACTAAATTTAGATGTCTGTTCCTAAAACGTTGTTTGCACTCGTTCCCTGGGAAGATGGAGGCAGCTGATAATTTGGCTAAATTATGCGTTTGAGCCCAATGGTTACAAATGAAAGAGTTGAATTCGGCAGATTTATTTGCCGCTGATGAAAATTCTTGGTAGCCGGAATTCAGACCTCCTCCTTCAGGGAGCAAATCGAGGGGTGAGGTGGTGCCCACAGGTATTTATGTGGACCAAACCTCATTGTTACAGCAAATAACGTGATGCATCAGTGAGTCAGTGGGAGGTTTTACTGATCAGTTAGGGACTGGCTACCGGGGGCCAAGGGCCTAAAGCAGCCCCTGAGGTGCCTCGAGCCCCAGGTAGTCATTACCTGAGTGTAAAGACCAATAAAGGGGAAATGATTGCTATTATAGGATATGTGAAAGATGCAGGGTGGACGACTCTGTATCAGGCAGGGTGGAATGTGCTCATCCCAAACATGCATTTTGAGCATCCCTGATGCAGCCTGGCTGCTGTGATGGTGTAAAATATCTCCCTTTTCCAGCAGTGTTGGGGTGTGATTGGCAGCAAGTCTCCACCGAGCGTGGGCATCCTCCCGTGCACACCAGTCACAGGACGTGAAGGGGGAGTTTTTGTAATTTTTTTTTTTTTTTTTTTTTTTTTTAATAAATAGATAGGCTCTGACAAATAACACCGCCTCTTCACGAAGCTCCTTCGCAGCAGCAAACAGACCTCTGCTGGGTTTATCAGCGGCAGAACCTCCTTTCCTAAAGGAAATAACATTTTTGGTGAAGATAATTTGGCTGATATTGCAATAGCTTACGGGGGCAAAAAAGCTGCAGATGCTGTAGCAGGAGCAGAGCTGCTTCCAGCAGCCCTGGGCATGGGGCAACAGCGATTGCTGCACCGGGTGTGTTTCACAGGGCCAGGCATGAGAGCTAGACTAGAGCTGAAAGAAATGCTATTGACTGTGAAAAATAACTGAATAAATAATCAAATAAAATCAAATCCGTGCAACAGAAACACCACCCTTTCTCTTGCAACGACAGTTGGTAATTGCCAAAACCCAGACAGCCTTAGGCTAGAAAAAGCCAAAACAAACCCCCCAAAAAATCCATAAAGAATTTAATGCATATTTAGAAACCAAAATATTTCAGGCAAACAGCATGTAAATTGCACAAGCCCTTGTGTGATCCCCCCCTACCCCGTGCTGACTCTTAAGTTGCACTGCTAAGGAACATATCCTCATTTTCACAACTCTGGCATAAAGGCAGGTGAGTGGCAAAGGGGAGGGAAAAAACCCAACCCCCAAAAAAACCCAAAACAAAGGACGTGTGAGGGCTTTCATTTATTTTGATAATCCTCCTCCTGCTCCACAGCGTTTTGCTGTCTTTGTCAAAGTGAATGACAACAATTTGGCCAACTCTCTCTGAGCTGCACTCAACAGTGACAGGCAAATTATCAGAGGCCCTGCACTCCTTATTATCAGAGGAGAAGTCATCAGGAGGACGTGCGGAGGATCCCTCTCCCCTGTCACTATTTGTCAGTGGGACAAGGGCCACTGCTATGGGTAGCTGACAGGTAATTTCAACAATAACAATTACTCCTATTACTGGTGTCATAAACAATTCGCCCAAGGCATGACAATAGCAAAGCTTTATAATTCAATGCCATATAAATAAATGCCAGCAGGTAACAAGTAATTTAGCTCCAATCAGGCCTTGGCCCTAGCATTAATATTGTTATTGCAAGAAAATGGAAAATTGAAAAAATTCAATATGTTAATGAATTAAGAGGGGTTCAAAGGCTAAGGAGGGAGAGACATGATCCAGAATGGGGGGAAGGAAGAAAACAAAAACAAAAGATACAAAATCATGCTTTCAGATCCAGCACAAATATGTGCTCATACAACCTTATAACTAGTTTTTGATATAAAACATGGTCTTGCTATGCTGCTTTTCAGGTTAGGGCAAAAGGCATGCAGGAACCTGAACCCCACCCCTTGCCTCCATCTGCCACGCTGCGAATGACATGCATGAAAAAATAAACTTAATAATAGTTTTATTTAAAAAAGAATAATATTTAGAAATTCACGCAAGACATAGATTTAACAGAGTTTAAAGGTTTATTTACAACTCCATTGTCTTGTTGTCCATTTCTTGCATGCTTTAATCTTTTTTAAACGAGCTCTGTTAAATCATTGATTCTCTATTTATCAAGAAGGATTTTATTGCACTTTTTCTCTCCCCAAATGCCCTTCATAGGCCACAACACCCTAACTCTCTTACAAAAATGATGATCAGCAGCAAGCAAGCTAAAGGCCAATATCTTCAAGTCCAACTTCTTGATCAACCTAATTTGCAATTTTACTATTTGTCCGGCACGACAATGTGGCATCAGGCTGACAGCAGTAAAAGAATTTGAAAATCTCTAATTAGGAGAGCTGCGGAGCAATTAACGCATGTCAAATTTCACTTCATCAAGTGCCACTCTAATTTTCCCACTAAAAATTAATGGACTTTTTTTGGTGTGTGTGTCTGTGTCTCTGTGTGTGTGTGTGTCCCCTCAAGGCAATGCTGATTCAAATCTGCTCAAGATGCAGTGTTGCACAGCTAAGCATCTTCTTGATTACAACCCGACACACTTCTAACTGCTTTCATTCTCACTGCCACAGATACTTTGTCAACAGTCAAATTACGCCATGCTGATAACAATGCATAATGGTCTTCCTCAAAGGAGGCTCCTGTCATGGAGCAGCCTTTCATAAAAAGCCACTGGTTTCTTCTCTGGGAAATAGATCTGGATGAAAGGAATTAAGCTTTTGTGGTTTCAGCCATGGTTGCAATGCAATTTTCTTTTTCTTTTCCCATTTTTTCTTCTTCCCCTCATGCTATAATTTATTTATTTTTGTACTCACCTGAAATTACAACAGGGAACTGTTCGAAGAGTGATACGGAATGGAAAATATTTATAGTGACTGTTTATACAGGCTTTGCTTTAACCACTTTGCTCCAAGACATTTTCAAGAGCAACATCCTCCTTCCAGTACCACTAATTTCTTTTATTTTTTTTCCTTTTCTTTCCAAAGGTGCAGGGCAGCATCCCGCACTCTTTGCATAAGCACAAGCCCCACTGACGTCAATGGGAGTTTTTCCGGGGCGAGGGCTGAGTGCCTTGGCCCGCTGCTATAAACACGTTGGGACTTTTCTTTTAATGGATGGTATTTAGATCCTGTGTGGGGCTTGTTTAAAAGGCACGTTTTCCAGAGTCCTCAAACATCACGGGGCACGCAAGACAAATTGTCTTTTTGTCAGAGCTGCATGCGGGCAGGAGAGAAGCACTGAGCTATCACAGACAGTTTTAACCTTCCCCTTACTGCTTCCTGATCCCCACCTCCCTTTTCCTGGGAGATCAATAACAGCAAAAGTCAGAGGGTGTCATGGGGCAGGATTTCCAACAAGCAGAAGTGGAATTAATAAGAATAACATGCTTCAGAGATACTAATTTTTTTTGTCTGTAAGTTTCAGAGCTGAAATATAGCTGTCTGCTCCCTTGGAGAGAAGGGTTAGCACCCACAGCCCTGTCTGTAACTGGGCTTATTGCTGCCAACCACCCCAATGACATGGGTAGGGTATATAACCCTTGGTGTGGCATGTCTATTTACACTACAAAGCAAAGCCAAAACCACACATTGCCTTTAATCTGAGCCATTTCCCCATCAATATCTTATTTCTTGCCCCAGATAAATGACTGATGTTGCAGTGCCTGGTAACATGGCTCCACTCCTCCCAATAATTTTCTATATCCTCTCCAACTATATTCACCCCCAGCCCCGAAGGTATTAACATTTTTCATTTAACTCTGTCTGGCATACTAAGAAATGTGAAATTCGGGGTATCCAGTTCCTGAATTCTGGATGTTCCTCTCTTTGTGTCGTCCACCTAGGAAGGAGAAATGGGTCTTCTTCTAATGACACAGCCCAGTGCACACACAGTCCTCGAGCATCCTTAGACCAACGGCATGGCAGACACTGGGCAGGTTAGTACATGTGTAAGTGCACTTCTTTTTTTATTCCATGTCCTTCTCTAAACTTAGTTTTTTTATTTTTTTATTTTTTTTTTTTTTGCTAAACAAAGCAGCGATTATATACTTTGCCTCAACAACCTCTCCTTTTTTTATAAGGGGACACCCTCCCCCCCTTCAAAAAGTGCTGCCATAAAAACAATAGGCAAGGCCGTAATTTAAAGAGAGAAAAATGTGATTATATAACACATCCTGCAGTAATCAATTTTACCTCCAATATCTGCTTTTGTTTTCAAAATGCTAAATAAACAATACATAATGCATCCCTCATCAGCCAAAACCATGAGGGCTCTGTGCTCAAATAACAGGAAACATATTCAATTTTCCTAACAGAAGACAGTTCATTAAGCTGTGCCACATCAAATAAAACTTTAATTTCTCCAGCATCAGAGTCGCAATGAAAGCAATTGAGGAAGATGAGCCATATGGTACTTCTATCAGCAAACACATATTGCTCATTCCCCCAAAGTTTTCTAATTCTGCTCCCCAGACCTGTGTAATATAGATAATGTGCTCTGAGTGCAGCAACCATGAGCTATCTGGTGTACACTTCTAATACTGTATTTAATGGGAAATAATGAATCATAAAAGCCTGCAGAAGACGGCTTTTGCTAACCTAAATCTCAGCTGTAATTTCATTGTTCTGTGCCTAAGATGCTGTTTGCCCTTTTCAAACAGCAGCAGTTGAACATAATTATGCTGCTACAAACCTAGGCTGCAAAAAGAAAGCCTTCCTAATAGAACCAAGTTTTTATTAACTCTTGAAATCCTGAGCTTGGGGCAACTGGAAGCAGAGAGCTGCCTGTCACGTTTTAGGGTTCATTAAAGCACATGCACACGTATATCTTGAATTCCAGTGTGCAGCCCCACAAATTAAATTGATGATTCCCACATCAGGCCAAAAATGCAACAGGAGAAGGCTGTGAAAAATTACGAAATCATCTTGACATCGAGAAATCCGACACTTGTCTGCTCTAACATCTGTAAGCGCCAAAGAAAGAGGGGGATTTTTTCCCTTAAAGGTAAGTCTATTTTTCTTCTTCTTGCTAGATATAAAAACTGTGGTTAGTGCCTGGAGTAAAGGGCCCTCTAAACTTTATAGTGCTTACCCTTCGTTTATAAATCTATAATGATCTATTTAATGATATCATAAGGTTAAAAGTTAAACAGCACTGTATTTTCTCTGCCTTTTTCTCTTCTGCCTTTTGGAAAGGCAGGTTTGCCTATTTCCGAGAGACGATTGGTCAGGGTTATTTTCTGAAGAAGCCTGAAGGTAAAGAGGCATCCATACATTCTCGCAGGAGGATTCATAAAGGCAAGGACGAGAAGATAAAGGTATTATTTTGACATGATGACCCCTGGAAAATGTCTTTGACTCATCCCAAGTAAGCCTCTTTCTTTCCTTCCTCCACCCTCTCACCCTCCCCTCAAAATGCTGGGCTAATTTAAAACATTTTCTAGATATGCTACTTATACATATTGAAAACATATTTTAGTGACTGTGTTTGTTTTGGCAATATGTAAAACAAATCCCCCTCCCCAATTAAATTAAAAAGAGAGACTTTTAAAAGTTAGAGATTGCCTTTTAAAATCTTATTAAAATCAGCATGTTAGATGCCTGTCTTTGAATTAGCTCCGAGGCTTGATTGCTTTCATTAAAAGCTGCCTGTTTGGGTGCTGCTTGGTGAATGCTCAAGTCTGGATTTTTTCCCCTCTTACCTCCCCCCCCCCAGCCCTGAGCTGCTTCTTACTACTTGTCAACTTGGATTTTCCCTCCAAATTTAAAAGCAAAACTTGGATTTTTTTTTTGAGAGGCAACAGCCACCCCCACCCTGCCTTCCCCTTTGCAAAATATCACGACCAAAATCACCAGCAATCCGAGTCAGAGAGAGACCAACAGGTAATATACATACTAAAATATATATATTTAAAAATTGCTTGAAAAAGGACACATCCAAAATACCCACCATGACCAAACCGACACCCCCAAAAAACCCACCCCAAGCCACCAAAAAACTCCAAGCTATCACATTACTCATAGCCCATGAATGCCTTAAAAACAAATGTTTAAACAGGTTTTCTCTTTTTTTTTTGAAGTGGCAGAAAACCTCTACATGCTCCAATGGGTTACAATAACAATGCTCTATTGCAATGTAAAACAAGCTGGAGGAGAAAAAGGTGCTTTTTGTTACCATTTTATCAAAGCTGTTCATCTTCTAGCTGCAGGCAGCATTTTGCTGGAATTGAAGATATTTCTCTGTCCGGGCTCCTTTGTTTGTGCATCTCATTTGCATATATTTATCTCCAGCTGAGGGTGCTTTCAGCTCATTAAGGCCTCCCCTCGCATTATTTCATAAGCCAGCTGCTAGGAGGGATTTCACCTGTGGTGAGTGAGAAAAGAGGGATGAAAAAACCAAATTCTTCATTAAAAAAAAAAAAAAGAAAACAAAAAAGCCAACAACCACGGAAATCTTCTGACTCTCTTCCCCTATAAATGGGCACCATTTGTGTTAAACAGCCTCTTGTCATGATAGATGCCTCCTGGGGTCAGGGGGGAAAGTTGATTTGAAGGTCAGCAGTAAAACAACAGACAAACCAGACGCCAAACTGGTTCTTTAGCTGTCGGTGGGAGCAGTGGTACAACCAGGTCTTGAACCTTTTTCAACCTCTAATAAAACAGGGGAAGAATCTGAAGTGGAGCAACCAGGCCCCAGAGGGAAAAAAAAAAAAAAAGACCAGCCCACAAATAATATCAATATCGAACAGCAATGGGAAACAACGGGGCAGCTCTCAGTGTTACGGGCACTCTGCTATTGTTTCAAGAGCTGGGGAATTAATTCCACTTATTTATTTAAGGCGTGTCAACTCGCTGCCTAAACCTGTTTCGGTGTCAAGATGAATAAAACTTTTATGGCTCATAAAATAGAGCCATTCATCTCCATGGTTTCGTGGTGCCTGGGTTGTTGGGGTTTTTTTCCCCCTTTCCTCCTGGTAGGCTGAACTGGGCCAAAATCTTTGTGTCCCATCGCTACCAACTCACTCACAGGAGAAAAGAAAATTTGGACAGGGCATCTCAAGCTAAATTTCTGGGTTTGATCAGAAATTGCAAATGTTAATTCATCATAGTCATGTGTAAACCCCCCATCTCCTCTATTTCCCCAGCCTGAAACCTACAATGAATTTACATCATCTATATGGAGCTTTGCACCAACAGGTAATAAAATACAATAAAGCTTGCTTTTTATCAGGACACACGCACAAAAAATCCCATTAATTATGGTTCATGACTACTCTAAACCAAATGTTCAAATAGTAGTTGGAAATGATGCATAAAATCTCAGCATGTTCTGATAGGTTATAGAGTCAGTGGTTTATTGCAATGTAAAACAAGCCACAGGAAGAGAGGGTGGTTTTGTTTACCATTTTCATCAAAGCTGTTCATCATATTGATATACTTATTCTATATTGTGACCCTTACATATGTTGCATTTCATATATTTATTTTCCAGGTTGTTGTCTCCTTTGCTGCCTTTGCCTCTGAGAAGCTGAGCAAATGCTCTGGCCCCTTTCAAGTATTTTCTCATCGACACTGAATTTTTTCTACCGACAAACCAACTGATAGATATAGACCTAAGAAATATTTATTATCATTGTGTAAGAGGTTTTTTTACTTAATCTGAGGCAATTAGTTCCTGAATAAACACTGACTAAGTAATCTACCTCCTCAAAAGGTAACCAGACTTGAAAAGTGCTGTTTGCTTCTACCCAAGAAAAGTACAACTTGATTAAAATGCTTTGGAGATTTGTTTTCATTTCTTCCCTTTTGCCCTGGAAAACATTTTATAATATCCCAATAACTTTTATTTTCTCCCCATGCCAAACCTGGAGCCTCTGTTTGTTGTTGCTGTCCTTTTCCCCCACCTCCCCTAAATCTTTAACCCTGCTTCTCATTTTTCTTTGCCTCTAATCTAATCACTAATTCCTTGGCTTGGCCAAATAGTTAAAAATGTTAAGTGCTGCTCACAATTCCTGCTGCCTCCCCCACGTATCTGTCTCTGTTTATGGAACAGGCCCTGGTTTCCTCCTGCTCTTGTTCAGCTGTAGGTCTGCAGGTCAGGAGACTGTAAATACACACAGTGCTGCCCCAACCCATAAATCT